ACCGCTAGCAGATTGAAGTTGATAACTAATTTTCAAGGAGACCTGACGATACTTGCCGTTTACTGTGCTTTGAGCGAGAGAAATTAAAATGAATTCCTAAGACAAACAACACAAACCACCCGCACACCCACAGACCACACGCACACCCATAGATCACACGCACACCCACAGACCACACGCACACCCATAGATCACACGCACACCCATAGATCACACGCACACCCACAGACCACACGCACACCCACGGACCACACGCACCCCCGCAGCCAGACCCACACCGACACCAACACACACACCAACACCAACACCCACACCCACACTCTTCAACAAAAGAGAACTGTATTGCTCTCTCTACTCTGATGCCTTTGCTGTCCTCGCTGAAGGACCTTCAATCTCATTTTCTGTTTCAGGGTATGTATGAAGAGGTATACTTTTTCGAGCAGTCACCTTCGAAGGCACGTTTTTTTTCGTTGTTTGCTCGAAGAAATCAAAATGAAACGCAGTGTTCTTTCACTTTCGATCAAATTGCAGAAAACATACTGCCTACGTATTAGTGCCACCGGTCATTCACTGTTTACCTTCTTTTGTATATTATTGTTTCAATTTTTGCGCTCGCTTCTTTTTTAAAAATTGATTTTTGTCGTTCGTCCGGCGCAGGAAAGTTTGTGTTGTTTGTCTTAGGGATTCATTTTAATTTCTCTCGCTCAAAGCACAGTAAACGGCAAGTATCGTCAGGTCTCCTTGAAAATTAGTTATCAACTTCAATCTGCTAGCGGTTCGGTGAGCCCCAAATTCGATCACTTTTTACCTTCTGTTTTTGCTCCATAGAATGATTTCATAGTTTATGAAGTAGCAAGATGTTCTAAAGAACATTGTTTGCTGTTTGACATAGAATCTTTATTAGTTCAGATGTTCTTGTGAAATAGATAATTTTCAGCCAACTTGAGTATAGCATATTGAGACCCCTAGTCAAAGAAGATTAACAAAAATACCCATTTCAACCAGATGAAATCATCGTGCCACTTTAAAACATTTGTAATTTTCTTGTATGCTTACATGATTTCATCCGATCTGCACGGTCATTCTAAGCATTTTTGCTGAGCTCAAAAACAGAAGTGTGTATCTACGGGTAGCATTACGAACTGGAATGTCTCTGTAGCAGCAGACACGTTGATACAGACACCCACACCCACACCGACACTAACACACACACACCCACACGCACATCAACACCAACACACACGTCCACACCCACACCGACACCAACACACACACCCACACCCACACCGACACCAAAACCCACACTCCACAACCACACACACCCCCACTCCCACATCTCACACCCACAGCCACACCCCACACCCACACCCACACCCACGCCCACACCCAACACCCGCACCCACACCCACACCGACACCCACACCCACACCCACACTTACACCCACATCCACACCCGCATCCACACCCACATCGACACCCAAACCCACACCCACACCCAAAAAATCTCAGTAGAAATCCAGGATAGTTCAAATCAGATATGTGCAGTACTATGTGGATGCAATTGTGATGATCGATTGTGTTGCTCTTGTTTTTAGATTTGAAATAATACTCATTGTTTTTCTTTGACTCCTCGTTATTGACAGCTGAAAGATGAGCGCAAATAATGAAGCAATTGGAAGACAGGCCATTGGTCGACATGAATTTATTGGAGGTTTGTATGATATTCGTAGTGATCGTTTCGACGGTAGAAACTTATTTAATCGGGAATTGCCACCATCGTATATTTCAACAACGGATTGTGCCTATACAACATATATTGTCGATGAAAATGAATCTCAGAGAGATACATTGAACAAACTTAATATTGATGCAGCAATGAAAGTTAGTCTTATGGCTGGTTTACTTAATGTGGAAGGTTCAGGCAAATACTTGAATCAAACAAAAACTGATAGTCGAACAGTTCGGGTAACACATATCCTCCAATTGAAAACGAAAAAACAACATTTACACATTAGTATGGCTGATTTATGTAATTATTTTTCATCAGATGCGTTGGAAAACTCAAACGCAACGCATTGTGTGATTGGAATTACTTGGGGTGCAAATATTGCGGCAACATTTGAAAAAACTTTAGATACTTCAGAGGCAGCCGAAGAAATTCAAGGTCAATTATCAGCATACTTGAAGAAGCCATCAATTAGCATTAGTGGTGATGCAAAATTGGTAAATGCTGACCAGATAAATTCAAAGTTTCGCTCACTGAAGATTAGTTTTTCTGGCGATGTGTTGATTAAGGATGTTCCACATACAGTTGAAGATGTTTTCAATATTTTCAGAAAAGTACCATCCGAGTTGGAAAAATTAAATCATGGTAAAGGGCAACAACTTGAATTTGAATTATATCCATTGACACGGATCGCCGAAATTTTCAAATATGAACTGTCCATTAACCGGTGAGTTCGTGTAATATATCTTTACCGGCACAAAACTAAAATAAACGTATGTTTATGCACTCTTATTTTAGAATCGTTAGAGAAGTTTCCATATATCTCTTGAATCGCTTTGAAGATGTTTTTGAACAAATAATCCAAGGCAAAAGAATTATCAATGACTTTCTTGATAGTATAAAACCATGGAAAGATTGGATCCCATCGAATTGGATTGAAGTTATTATTATTAAACAAGCAAAGTTGAAGATAGTACAAACGGACACGCAGCTAGAACTAGCAGCGCTACTTGAACAGATACGTCGAGGCGAGGCTGATGAACAGAAAATGGTCGAATTTTTAGATAATTTCGACCAAAAAAATGAATGTTCTGTTAGGTCCATTCGACAATTTGTGGAAGAAAACTCAAAGAACAAAACCAAAATTGACTCACTGAATGAAATCCGTCAATGTTTAGAAGATATCGAAGGAGAAAACAAACACTCAAAAGGACGAGATTCAAGTCTTCTGTTCCCAAAGGATGCATCGATTCTCGATTTCATTAATCGAAATCATGATCGTGATGTCTATTTATTACATATTTCAAATGAATGGAAAAAAAACGATGTAGAAAACTGGTATAAACAAATAAGATTTTTTAGCAATTTATACAAATCGCAACCGCAAAATGAAACGAAAAAACCAGTTTTTCGTTTGATTGATCATGATTTGCTTGGCAATTTGGACGATAAGCCTAATCGTTGTGTGATTTACCATGCATATCATGGAAAAATCGACGAAGGAAAGGATTATTATCATACTTCACGAGGTACGTATATTGATATTTCCTATGAAATATTTTGGAGGACTCTTTGTTTATTCTAAGCTGAATTTTTAATAAGATTTAACACTAAAACTAAGTTCATATTGTATATAATCCAATCTTTTCCCGTCTAGTAACTTTATCTGAAGATCAAATTCGAACAATTCGGACGGAAAACAAACTTACAACTATAACAAACTCAGATATCGTAAAAAGACATAAAGAATTTATCGCTTCACAGTAAGAAACCATATGATTTCTGCTCCTGGTTTAGCATTATTCACTTGTTGTATGATACTTTTTAGTCCTGCTGGTGAAATGAATAAAGAAGAGTTTTCAGCTGAATTTCAACGACTTTTCCCGCGGTATGTCTTGCTTCGAAGACGGTGCCGCTATAGTTACGCATTCTTTATATTTTATTTTCAGTGGCGAATCACGGTGCTACTGTAATTATGCGTTCAATATGCTGGATAAAAATAACAGTGGCACTATTACCTTTGATAAATTCATGTCAGCCATTGCGTTAACGTTGCCAGGCGATATAGAACACCAACTTGCACTCGTACGCATATATCCTTTTTTTATTGAATATTATTATCTTCAGTTGGTTACCTCTATTTTTTTTGAAGACTTTTCAAATGTGTGCTTATAACGATCAAGAACAAATCAGCAGCGAAGAATTGGTTCAATTTCTAGAAGCTGTAGCCCAATTAAAAGGTGAAGACTCAAAGTCTGCGTCGTTGATTGCCAAAACAATTATCAAATTTGATAAAAGAAGGAAGGATGAAAAAATAACAAAAGAAGAATTCATATCTCAGTGCGTACTTTCCGAAAATTTCTCAGAATGAAAACAGATGTTTCTTTCTTTTAGTCTTAAAGGGAACTATGATTTGTGTGTGGCATTACTACCAATTGAAGTCAGTAAGTAGCTCAAGAGATAAGGAGAACAAACAAGGGGATTGTATCGAGTGTCTAGTGTATGACTATCATTGACAAAATTGATCTGTTAGATCCCATAAGTTTGACCGTTGCTGTGCATACTAAAGTTTGATGAAAGATGTTTGTTAATGAGTACTGCAGTGTGTAGCGAGAAAAGGAGTATTAGTGAAATACGCGAACACCTGTGAACACCTCGAAAGGAAAGAAAGTTTCAAACTACACTATAAAAAAACGTATATCACTATCTTGAGGGTGTGGGTGTGGGTGTGAGAAAATGGATTCAATATGCACACCCATACCCACACCTTTCGAAGAACAAATAGTCTATCTAACATTTTATCATCGAAAAATCAGGAAATAACCGGTATTCGCAGATTCTCAACTACTTTCGAAAGGTGTTCGCAGATAAACTTTGACTTGCATGATGCAAATCTTTTTCAGACTCATTTGAAGTACGTGCTCTCAGGTGTTCGTGAGCAGAACTCAACGAGTTCTATAATGCGCATATAGGTAGAGCGAAACTATCTTTCCTTTCGAGGTGTTCACGTATTTTACTAATACCTCTTTCTAACTTAGTTAGTTCCAGCTGCTGTGAAAATATGAGAGAAATCGGAGATATCGATTGAGCAACTTTGGTCGTAGTTTACGTACAATGCCTCCTAGTGAGAAGATTAAAAGATCATACCGCAAGGAAGAATTAGATTTCTGTGGACATCAGAGTCTCTAATCTGTTCAAAATCCATAAACTCGCTTGTAATTTGTAAGTTTCAAAGTCCGAAAGCTATATTTAAAAAATCCGAATTAGTCCGAAAACTCGCTTTTTCTTTGCTTTATCCGCATGTTCATCATAGACTGAGAGTAGATTAAGAAATTCAATTTTCTCGCTCTGAACATCAGAACTCCTTAGCAGTTATGTTGTACGAAATTCGATGATTCGCTATTTCCTTCTTACTCAAACAGAACTCGTTGGCGATTAAATAATAACGACAATTTTGTTTTAGGTATTACTCAAAAATCTCGAGAAGGCGCAGGTAATAGCAATCCGAAACTGAATATATTATGCTCTAAAAACGAAATTTGTTTTCATGGTGGAAATTTATTGACCGTTGAACAACAACAGAAATTAAATGAATTCTATGGTAAAAACGAGGCACAATGGCAATTGATCTATAAAGCAAAAAGAGATGGTTTTGCTAGTAAAGATTTTCATCGTCAATGCGATGGCAAAGGCCCAACAATGACAATTATTAAATCAAAATCTGGTGGATATCTGTTCGGTGGATATACCGTGCCTCCGTGGAGCTCAGATAATGGAAGAAGAACAGATCCAACAGCCTTTTTATTCACACTAATAAATCCACGTGGTCAGGCAATGACAAAATTTAATATTGGACAACATTTAAGTGGTCAGTAAAATGAATGGAATGATGAGTAGAAAAAAATGTAAATGATCAGTAGATACACATAGGGTACTACACAAGTTTTTTGTCTAGCTCTGTTAATAGACTTGACTAAGAACTAATTAAATAGTTATAATGCCGATACATATTTAGGAAAACGTACAAAAGTCGAGACTTCTAACTGTTGTAGTCTATTATTTCTTTGATACTACACTGAAAAAAATATTCGTTTTGTAATGAACCCGTCAAAAGGGTATAGCAGTCTCACATATACTCTTTAAGGGTTGATTCTTTGTAATAAACCCTTCCATAAACCCTTTCGACTGATAAACGCTCGAAGGGTATTTCATACGTTGCAATTTTCTAAACTCATTGACGTTTATTACTGTTGATAAACCTTTTAAAACCCAATTTATTATTGTACTCTTCAGAAGCGTTTATGAATTTAATGAACTTTCAAAAGGTTTATCAACAGTGATAAACCCCAATGGGTTGAGAAAATTGCAACGTATGAAATACCTTTCGAGGATTTATCACTCGAAAGGGTCTATGGAAGGGTTTATTACAAAGAATCAACCCTTAAAGAGTATATGTGAGGCTGCTATACCCTTTTGACAGGTTCATTACAATACGAATATTTTTTCAGTGTATGTACACGCGATTTCTAAAACGAGTGTGCCAGGTTGAATGGTACTATTTACTATATCAATTTTCGATCCCTTAATGAGCTGCACTAAAACAAATTCACCACAAGATGAAGCCTGAAAAGTAGTGGCGGAGCCAGGGGGTGTGAGCTCCTCCCCTATGCATTTTTAAGCTATATCTAGTGAGATTTTGGAAAAGTAAATCTTATTGCATAAAAGTATTTTGATGTTAGTAATGTCAGATTTTCTCGGATACGTTCGATTTTCAAAAAACTGATGTGCATTTCAATAATAGAAAATATAGTTAATATAAATACAAGTTTTAATGAAGTTTTATAGGTTAGGGTTGGTGTGCGTGTGGGTGTAAGTAAGCAAGAGAACCTCACACCCACACTATCACCAACAACTGCACCCACACCTACCACACCCACACCCACTTCCGTAAAAGTAGCCGTTAAAACCCTGATTCTATCAAATATCGAACAGCATCAGCGAATGACTATGAATAGTGGACTACGTAAAAAGATGGTCACCGATTCGTACCGATTTTTCATAAATTCAGTGCGGTTACCGATTAATCGTATATCGACTGACACCGGATATCGTTAGAGCGGATACCAATCTGTAATAGATATCGTTATATTCTTGACCGAGATTGTACCGGATACCGTTAAACTACTGATTGATCCAGACCAGTTATCTTTGAACCACTCATCGTCTTGGAACGATTATCGTTAATTCCTTCCCCACCATGAGTTGATTGTCATTAATTCCCTTTCCTCTCAGGAGCGGATACCGTTGAACCACTTTCCCTTTTCAGCCCGTTACTATTAAGTCTCTTTGCCTTGATTTCAGTTACCGTTACATCCCTTGTTGACTCGCACCGGTTATCGTCTTAAGACGGCATTTCGTTGATGGTAAAACGAATCATGCTCGCCACCGTTGCATCCCTAATCAGTACTGTTTTGCAACGGGTGGTCTGCAATATTTCAAACGAATATACGGTGATAATGTGTCCGCATATAGAGCCTTTGTAACATCATTTTTAAGGCTAGCAACGGTGCTTTTCTTCAGATGACTCATTGATGCAATAAAATCCATAATTTTAAAAATAGCTCTCATTCTCTGACAAACACTTCTGCATCAATTGAGGAAAGATACCGTTCAACTGAGAGTCAGTAACGGTGAGGATGGCATTACTACATATTTCAATGTTTGCAATTACCCTTTAGTTCAACTGACTGATTTTTAAAAAAATATGAGGTACTAAACTGTTAAATTAGCTGATCGTTTAAATAATTGCTGATCATTCATTTTTGGTCGACCATCCTTTTATTCTGCAGATCATTTCATTTATCTTACTCACCAATTATTACATTCTCTTTCTTTTTTTAAGAAAAGAACAAAAAGTTTTCTGCCTATCATTCTTCTCAAGGTGGACCGATTTTTGGTGGCGTTACACTTGGTCTTTTGCCTGGTGGTGCTGCTCTTCTTTTTACTGCGGTCGGCTTCAACGGTGCTGCTGCTAATCGTCTTTCCGCTGATATTTGTGTGCAGAGCAACTGTGATGTAACGCCGAGTACTATTGACTTTCCCCAAGCTTTTATTGATACGTCGGGTCACGGGCAAGCAACATTCACTGGAACACCCATAGACCACACGCACACCCACAGACCACACGCACACCCATAGATCACACGCACACCCCCAGACCACACGCACCCCCCCAGACCACAAC